ACTTGAATGAGCGGGGGGTTAAATCTCGACTTAAAGCTTTCGTGACTACGACGACGTTTCGATCGCAACACAAGCGCTCGTGTTGCGATCGAAACGTCGTCGTTTTTTGTTTGTTATTTTCTTTGAACCTATCTACGCGACTTTACCGAAAGACCCAAAGAATATGGCCGGGGGGGTTGTCACGTTGTGCACTGATAGTTCATTATGCCGTGGAATTCCGACGTTTGGCCAGCAGTGCCGACGTCCTGAGATGGTTGTTGCGGGGTCCCCACGTACGCCAACATTGCGCCACGTCTTGCAGGCAGTGCAACAACAACAACAGCAAGACGATGTTCATTGCCTACAAACAAATCACCGTGATATGCACCCGACCAGATGTCGGAAGCTGAAGCAGGGTTTTAAGTCCGGTCTGTACTCGGACGGTTGGATGGGAGGTTACCGAGGGAATACTGTAGCACGTGTTGTAGGTTTGGGCAAGGGAGGTGGCCAGGAGATGACGGTACAGCAGTGGATTCATGAATCTATCTTTGTGTGGCTCTGAGTGTTTACACCCTTGTACATGTGAGTTTTCTCAAGGTCCTCCTGGTTTATTCCCTCATGAACAAAAAAACACGAATAAACCTAATAGCTCAAAGCATCCAAAAGCCGGACCTTACTGATAACCCTTGAAGGACATTTATTTAGTTATTTATATATTTTAAAAAATAGATCGCCACGAATTAAATTTGCCACTTTTATCATTAAAACTGCCTGCAAACAGAAATGCATACTCATTAGCCGACATTTTGGACAATTGCCTTTCAATTAAAGAGATGACACATCGATTGACATAGCGTACAAGATCACTGTTTGAGAAAAAATGTATTGAGAAAGCTGACATTTAAACAGTTCTCAACGAACACGTGAACTGTTTTCCATCAAGAGATGAATGGGCAGCACATAACCCCCCAAACAGCAGCCATAGAAGGATCCGTGTTTTGAAGAGACTCCCATTGAAGTGGATTTGTGGTGTCAGGGTCACGGCTCAACGCGGTGACTTGAGGCTCGCCGTCTGGAGGGAGTTCCACAAGGCGATGTCTTCGCCTTTTCACGTAGCACGGTAATACCCCGATGTACGTCTCCCCCCCCCCCCCCCCCTTTAACGTCGTTTCACACACACACATCGTCACTTGATTAATCCCGCTACCCGATGTGCGTCGCCTGAAGCCACAACGTCGCTAACAGCACCTTTCTGGAACGCATCGCCGATGTAAACCGGGGTCATTACTCCACCTCAGATGGCACATTATGATCATCATAATCATCGTCATAATCATCCATCATCGATCTACTGCTGGATAGAGGCATCCCCAAGCCACATTTGCAAATGTGGTTTGCAACTTTGATCCATGTACCGACAGTTCAAATCTAATGTGCAATGTTATTGAGGGACTGTGTGTTGTGTTGGTGTCGTCTGGGACTGTTTTTTTGTTATTGTTTTGCTGCTTTGCAAAAGCTTGCATTTAGTGTTGAAAAATCGTCAGGAATTGATATAATTTTGCCATTTGTACCCATATCCTTTAGTTTTAGCGACGTTCTTAACTTTTTAAATATATATTTTGCACTCCAAACGTGTTTTTGTATTCTAGATTTGAAGCTTTCGTGACTGCAAGGATCCATACTCTTTGGTTCTATTCGGTAAAGTCACGTAGGTAAAAAAATAAAACAACAAAAATCACGACCTTTCGGCCACAACACCTGATGAAGGCCTCTTGTGTTGTGACCGAAACGTCGTGATTTTTGTTGTTTTATATTTTTTTACCTACGTGACTTTACCGAATAGAACCAAAGAGTATGTTTTTGCATTGTTTGTTGTTCAAACTTTCTGACCCGACCCTACTGGACATCTGTGGGAAAAAAAGCTTCATAGCTCATCGGATTCCTCATGCAGTATAAATACACATTCTGATTGTAACCTCTCGTGGTTTTGTGACGCAACATTACATCGAGCTCCTGCTCACTGAGCCGATCTCACCGCACCTCTGATGAACACGGTTAGCTACGTAAGGTGCGAAAGAAGTTAAACGTACATTCTAACCTGTTGAATGTGGCTGGAAAAAAACAAGTACATATTAACTATTAGAAATATTAACCATCTCAGATTTGCTAACTGCATTTAATTTGAACAACCATTGGAAATGAACTACAGAAAATTAGAGAGTAACTTCATACATAAAGATGCAACGTGGCGCTTAAGATAAAGGTGACCAGATTGCATAACTCGGCCTTAATTGGTGAGTAAATAAAAAAATATGTAACGTTTAATAAAACGAAAACTACAATTCACGTAAACAAACAAAGAATAGGCGTGAGCTCGCACAGAAGCCTAAATTGTTAGGCCATTACATGGAAACTGCTGGTCAATATCGAGCCCTTTTAAACAACAGAAAGGTCCCACTGCGGAATGAGAGCCAGGGCTTTGCTTTGTTCGTGGGAACGGGAGAGGGGAAACCCCATTAAAGCAGAGGGCATAAACAATAACGGAGGTGCTGGGGTTGCCAAAGGCAGATGTTGTACGTGCCGTTTAATTTGATTTGGCTTTAGCTGTGTGAATTTGTTTCAGCTGTCTGTGGGTCTCGTGGGATGGCAGTGATGTTAGTGCACTGTAAGGTTGCCACCTCCGAGGTACAAAACAAACTGGGACATATGGGAATTATAGATTTTTTTTTATAATCCCAGAAGAAGGTAGAACTACAATGTACACTGTGTTGTCTCGAGTGATGTTATATTACACAACTGAAAAGAAGAGAGATTTCTACAGACAGCTACGTTCATACAGAGGATGACCATGGGAAGACCAGTAAGGGTGGCAGGCCTAGTTTACTGGCCTACAACACTGGCAACCCTGGGTTTTATTTCTGCCTTCCACAACAATAGTAATCTGCAGTGCTGAAACGTCACAGAAGATATAGAAGCGACTGCTTGTGATTCTGGCCGCACCACTTTCGCACGTGCCTTGGTTGAACTTAATGGACACGTGCAGCACTTTTTTTTAAACACTGCCATATCAGGGTCTCACCATGCCGTGCAGAATTGTGGGGGTTATTCGACCATACTTCCCCATGCTGGCACGTGCAGGGTGGTGAAGGCGATATACAGCGCAAGATACCAAACTGCCCTCTACTGGCTCATGACCTTTAGCCCAATTGAAGCATTCTCCAGGTTCAAGGATCTGCTTAGATTTCGAGATCTGCCAAAGATCAGGTTCGTTCCGAATGCTTTGGTCATAAACGGTTGCCTTAATAGGTGCGCATAAAAACACTACTCACCCCAAGTTTTGATTTAAAGCTTTCGTGACTGCAGGGATTCATATTCTTGGTTCTTTCCCTTCTACGTGACTTTACCGAAAGAACCAAGAATATCATCCCAAGTTGTATAGCGCAGTGGGTCTTGCCGGGTAAAATAAAAAAATAGTTTAAATGGGATATCTGCTTTGCATCCATTTCTTTATGAGCCTATCTGAAAATGTATAGTAAGCTAGGAGAGCGGCCTCCTAGACGAGGACACGGATTGTGGCTATGTTAATGTGAGAGATTATCATGATGTTAATGTGAGAAATTAGAGGACACGGATTGTGGCTATATTAATGTGAGAGATTAGCATGATGTTAATGTGAGAAATTAGAGGGCACGGAAGTGGCTATGTTAATGTGAGAGATTAGCATGATGTTATTGTGATAAATTAGAGGGCATGGAAGTGGCTATGTTAATGTGAGAGATTAGCATGATGTTAATGTGAGACATTAGAGGGCACGGAAGTGGCTATGTTAATGTGAGAGATTAGCATGATGTTAATGTGAGACATTAGAGGGCACGGAAGTGGCTATGTTAATGTGAGAGATTATCATGTTAACGTGAGACATTAGAGGGCACGGAAGTGGCTATGTTAATGTGACTGATTAGCATAATGTTAATGTGAGATATTAGAGGGCACGGAAGTGGCTATGTTAATGTGAAAGATTAGAATTTATGTTAATGTGAGACATTAGAGGGCACGGAAGTGGCTATGTTAATGTGAGAGATTAGCATGATGTTAATGTGAGACAGAGGGCACGGAAGTGGCTATGTTAATGTGAGAGATTATCATGATGTTAATGTGAGAAATTAGCATGTAACTGTAGAAAAGAAGAGCGGCCTCCTCGACGAGAGAGTGTAACCCAACGGGTGTAATCCAAACAGTCTGCCTCAGCAGCAGACCATCGCTTTCCCACCTGATGTGGACGCTTGTGTTGCGCCCGAAACGTCGTGATTTATTTTATTTTATACCTACGTGACTTTACCGAAAGAACCAAAGAGCATGGATTCCTGCAGTCACGAAAGCTTCAACTCAACATGATATACCTATCCCATGCATATACAATGTATTACATACACAAAAATAAATTATACAGAGCAGATACTCTGCACGGTATTAGGCTTCTTTCCCCATGATACAGCGCAGCATTAAAGACATAAACGTGTGCCCCAAGCAGTCTCACGGCCTCTCAAGGCGAATGTCCCAGGACGATTCTGCGCTTGAGAGGATTGGCCAATTTCATGAATGAGTATTCGACTCGTGGGAGGGAACTGGAATTGGGAACCTGACAAAACATTCCTTTTTACGAGTCGAGTATTTGTAACATGTGGGTTGCGGGCACATAGTGGCGTACGATTATGAATTATATCATAAGGCATTTAATGTTTTACAGAAACGTGGGTACCTTGTTAAATTCCTTGCGAAATTCGACAACAGGTTATACGTTTTCCACCGATGATAAAACATGGTTTTATTCACCACAAAAGTATTAATTAGTTTCAGGCCTATTTTCGTGTAGGTTCATACTCTTAAACTTAGCCATTTTCCTTATTGAAAAAATCGGAGTGTCTGGAAAAAGAAGTTTCCACGATATACGACTGCATTTGCCATATGCATTTAACAACGACAGCACAAGTGGCGTGCAAAAAGCAAACACACACCGGGCATTGCAATGAGGGGCACCTGCATTTTTTTATTTAGAGTAGCATAAATACAATTAAAATAACATTCAAAGACATACAGTATTTACAATTTATTTAACAAGCGTATCCTTTCACTGAGATACAGGCAAGTGCACGTGTACACACACGCACGCGCGCGCGCCAAGTATGTTTAAGAAACACAAAAGTAAATGAGAAAACGTGCGGCCCTTGCGATCTGTTTGGGACCCAGGCTAAAGTCAACCGGACGTGCTCAGCTTTTCGACACAATCTCAATTTTGAACCGTGCAGACATCGCACGGCCGAGGCAAGTGAAGATCTGCCCACAGTAACACAGATAAACACCCGGCGAGGAAGGAGAGCGATGCGACTCTGGGAAAAGGAAATAGTAAAATATATTTTAAAAAATCAGTTCACAACTCAATTGCTGATATCGGTTTGTAAACCATATAAGTTAGTCAGGGACTTTTATTTTTCTTAAATGAAAACATTAGCTCATGAAGGTGCATAACCTTCTGTTTCGAATGTTTACTTTAAAAAAATCAATTCAATTCAGCAGACACGACTTGTGTTGCACGGGCAGGGTGACGATCTGTTTTGGCGTGTGCGTGTGGTGCATTTTTATGTGGAGAGCAGAGCCAGCTTGATGATAAGCGGTTACGTCCAGCTATTAAATATTGGCATCGCGGCTGCGTTGTAGCAAAGGGAATGTACAAAAGTTATCTGACAAACTGTGAATTGCGCTTAGCAATGGTAGAGAGAGAGAGTGGTGAGCACTTATGCCTATTGAAAGGTGGTGGCAAATACAGGTAGTCCTCGACTTACGATGATCCGACTTACGATATTTTCGACTTACGATGGGGTCGTCGTAACGCATCTCCTTCGTAAGTCGGGGACCACCTGTACTATGGAAAGAATCTCCCAGGGGACGAAAATATTTATAGTAACAGCAAAGTGGTTTTTCATTGACACTGTGTGGACATCAGTGTCATGGGAACGTCAATAGTAAGAGGTTAACACAGCATACACGTACACTGGTATGAGATTATTATTACAAAAAAGTACATCTTTCATTACTGTATGCTAAAACTTAGCGAAACTCAAAACTTTAGGGCATGCGTCAGAATCATGTGCGTACACTCGTGTGTGTGTTTTCTCCTGCTGGATGGGCTCAAAGCCAAAGCAACGAGATGGTGGACTGAAAATGCAGTCCACAAAAGGAGAGGGTTGAACAATTATACAAAGGCAACAATACACAAGTGATTTTTTCACGAATGTCTGAAATATGGCCACGAGACCACCAAGAGCATCTAGTCATCAACATAATATTTAGCCACAATAATTTGTTGTATACCCAAATTAAAGTTGTTTTTAAAGGTTAGAACATGAAATACATCACTGAATGCGTTGTACAATGCTGGATGCAAATATAGCTTTTTCCTCGAATGTTCTTAATATCATCCCACTTCAGGGTACTCAAAATTATGCATCGGGATACATTATCTTATAAAGAGTTATTTCACTGCTAAATTGTTAATTTAAATGCTTTAAATAAATACAATTTAATCGTTGACATCTCTGTGAAAGTAAGCGGTTAAAGGAGCCACCATAAAGTGGTTATATATTAAGTATGAGATGTATATGTTGCAATCAGACTGGTCAACTAAGCTTAGCAATAAGTTCCCTAAAATAAATGGAACTAAATGCCATGGCTCTCTATAAATGACTGATGGATAATTATTCACACCAACATTGCGAGTTCAGAGTTTAAAAACAAGTGATTATGAATTAAGAAGCAAACCATTCAATAAATATTCAGTTCTCTACAATTAAAACAAGCAGATGCCTCACATAGAGTTGTCTCCTTCGTACAGGGCCGACTCGAATTTCTGAGCTTCAAGATCAAGTGTTCTCGACGGCAGTGGCGCTTCAGCCACCGACAATGGCCACGACGACTTAGAGATGGATTGAAGCGATGGTTGGCCAGTTGGTTCAGGAGGTGAACGCTAAGCCCATTAAAAGCGCCTGAGCCAGCACCAATTGGAACCTGGGCTCAAATCCTGAACTGTCACCCATGAATAAAACCAGGTTTTTTACACATGTATTTTTCATACGTACAAAAGTCCGGTTGGCAATATTTGCACAATTCATTACAAATCAACAGATGTTTGAAAGATACGAGTGACCAATGAATGACGATCGCAAAATAAGACCTGAAAATGCGCTTGGGCCATCGTTATCCAAATTTCAACAATATGCATCCAGCATCCTTCTCAACTGATAACATCATACATTTTTACGTTTCATTGTGTACACCACAGGCATTCGGTGCTTAGAATGCATAACCAATATAAGCAGTATTCCTGATATTAGTGGGTTTTAATTTTATTTGGCTTAACGCACGTATGCCGTAAGAACTTTACGCAAACCCATTGTCATAAGCGCTTGGGATAAAAATGGCATAAAATAACCAACAGCCTCTTGACAACACTCTTAATCTTTGAAGCTGTAGCTCTGTCGAACAAAACTCAATGAGATTCACAAGAGCTTAAAATAAAAAAAAACCCGAGGTAATAAAAAGACATACGTTAATAGAATGGCAGTGACGTTTAGCACAATCATCATACCGCTTAACCAAAGCCAGCAAAACAGTGAAGTGTGCAACAATGTCACAGTGACCCCCTCTGACCCTTGGAGCACTTTCACAGATTTACTGTGTGAGCTCACATTGGTTCCTTGTCAATGTGAGACAATCTGGGACGTTTTCTTCGGAGCGAACGCTCCAAATGAGCTCCGACAATCCTACTTTGCTTAAAATCGTCGGCATGAATTTCCCGCTTTGCAAAACGAGCTTAACCAGTGCGAGTTTGTTTTATACAATGGTTGTTAGCAATTTGCCCAATGTCAGCACATCCTCGATTATTACAATTAAGCAAGCGTGACGTGATGGGTGCGTTTAGAGTGCCTCGCACTGACGCCAGTGACTGACCTCATCAGCGTTATGATGAGAACACTGGGCGATAACTGCCGAGACAAATTGAAGCTTGTGTCAATAAAAAAAACGAAATGGGGATCCAACGCTATGGCATTGTGCACACATTCTCTCTCTTCATCTTTACTCGCTCTAGAAATGATTGCTCCACATAATACTGCGTAAGAAATAGGGCTGTAACAATCTCTCCCCCCCACCCACCCCCCGTGAATTGTTACAATTCGGTCATGATTTGAACCAAAAATATTTTTTGGAACGATGCCGTAAATGTTAGTGCCTCCCAGTGACTGTAGAGGTTACATGAACCAATAATATGCAAAATATTCCTATGGAGGTAAAAAAAAAATCAGATTCTTATACAAGTGATTCGATGGATGTATCATTAATTTTAAGAATGGATATTAAGTGATGACTTACTACACCGTTACACTCCCAACACAAATCTCCCTTTCGTTTTAATGTAACGTTCATAAATACGTATATAACCATCTCACTGTAACACTCTCTACTACAATATAAAATTCTCTCCTTGTCTGGAGAACAATTTCTCCAAAAGGGAAGCTGAAAAGTGAAGTGGTAAGCACGCTTGCCACAGAGCCCATTTTCACAAACAAGGTTCGATTCCCACATTCACCTGCTAAGCTGCGCACCAAATTTGCCACAGCATGCCAGTGGCTGTGTACAGAGGGCATCAGAGAGTATGTGAAAGTGGACATCGTGTGCTGTTTTTTACAGCCAATATCACGAATTTTGAAAAGAGGTCCAATTGAATTACAAATTAGAAGTGATGGTCCAACACTGCTCCAATTACTCAGGATTCACTTGAAAAAAAGATTAACGACCCCATTCTGAACCTTGTTAAATGAACGATGGTGAATTGTGAATGCAATATACAAAAACACTCTGCTTAATTATGCACGTTCATCAAGTCACACACAATTATTAAAACACACTTTCCTCACCATTACAAGACGACCACTATCCAAACGATGACTTTCAAGCATTTTGCGGTAAAACCCATTTATAACATTGCACATTCCTGAAAAATTAAAAATGTCTATTTTACACGTTCCAAAGCATTTAATTCCCCCTCCCTTAAATTAATCAAATGCCTGTACACTACAAGGTACCATTACAAGGTACCATTACAGACACCACCATTATCTAATTTGATACATTGTGGAATGTATGTTTCAAACCACTGAGACATTGTGAAGATTGTCGCATTAATAATCCTTTGATTACGCCTTGCCAGGTCTCCCCTTTAGTCTTACTGGCCTCTCACACATGTACGTTTCATTTAACTCGCCTAAGTTAAGAAACTGGACCTTTTTCCAATCACGCATTCAAGCACACTCTGCTAAATAATACACACTAAGCTGAAACATATTAAATTAGGCCATGAAAAATATCATGGGAGGGAAACAAAACAGCACAGTATTTTTCAAGCATGGCATAAAAAATAAGGTGTGTGTATACTCAACAACCCCATGTCACCAACAGCCTCGTGAAAATACCAACAGATAGTCTTTTTTAAAGTTGTCAAGAGTAAAACATCATAAATAGTATGCTGCTTTACCTTTATTTCACTGTCATGTGTCTCGAGATGTTGGGCGTGATGTCAAAAATATATAAATAAATGTGCGGACTTCTTTCGCGCCGTACGTAGCCAACCGTGCTAATCGGAGGTGTGGGCGGAGGCGAAGGACAACACACTAAACACAAAAAGCCGTCCTGAAGAAATGATCAAACACGATCAATATAACATTTGGCTGAGGTGGCCAGGTGGCTCAGAGGTCCCAGCGTGGCACCGCTGGGACCTCTCAGATCGAACAGAAGCCACCGCCGGCTATTAAACCTGGGGCTCTCCAGGGTACGACGCTGATGGTTTCAGCCCAGTCGCCAATTGCTGTAAAAAAAAACTCCCACCTGATTAAATTTGGCACTGCACTTAATTTGGCTCAATTACAGCTCTAAGAATTAAATATAGTGGTTTCACTGTCAAAGCGATTAACATTACCAGCACTGTCCACTTGTGTGCGGGTCAGGGATCACTTGAAGGAATCTCAGTCGTTCTGCAATTTCTGCTTCTTTGGGCTGTTCTCTAACATAGCAAGTTGCACATGGTCTGTGAGAGTTGCAAGCGGTTTCTTCACCTCATGACATGACTCCGGTTGTACAATGGAGGACAAAAGGGGCAAAACATTACGGCAATACATTGTGCATGTCTTAAGCCTGATGCTGTACGTTTCAATAATTAATTTACATGTTTACTGTATTCCTCTGCATGTCGTCTCCCCTGGAATATTCTTTTGGTCTCAGTGAGCTCTCATCTGGTACAAATAATGCTTTAATGTTCTATGAAAAAGGGTCATTGCCTCAAACATCGTCAATTATATATTTTGTTGAGGCAGTGTCAATGATGAAGGGGCTGAGTTTTTTTGGTATAAAGCAAATGTATAAGCATAGTGGCTACGTTAGGTTGAAGTGTATGCTTGTCATACATTTCACAGCTTTCGCAGGATACCAGAGGGGCCGAATGTCTTTCACCATAGTGTGTGCATTTATTATTTTATTTAACTACAACTTGTGGAACTTCTACTGGGTAGGCAGGGACGTTACCTTGTTTAATGCACATTGCACAAGTTTACACACACATTGTTCATCCGCTCCCAGGCTGGGTATGGAGATGACACAATTGGGCAGGGCCATTTTTTTTTCTGAAACACACGACACATTAAACAATAATGCTGTGTTTTAAATATATAGTTCAAACAATGGGCAGAACTAATTTCTACTGTTAGTCCTGAGCCAGTGGTAGACATTCCACATTGCTATGGCAGAGACCAGTTAATCCATAGGACAACCACTGAATACGGTACATGAAATTTGTGTTTTAATCTATAAAGCAAAAAGCGTTGTCAAAAAGTCATGAGAATGATATATTAAGAGTAAGCATACACTCACACTTATTTTAAAAATACAGAACAATTTGTATCAAAGGACACATTCAATTACCTGATTTGTTCAGATGGAACTTTAAAATAAGGCAAATATTCAGCAGGAGCAACTCTTTCAATATCTCATTCTCAAAACGTTGACTTCCCCCAATATTTTATATATAGCACACACACGTGTAAAAATAATAATTAACATGTACTGCACGTGCAATATATATTTACGTGCTTGTACATATACATTTAATTCAGACACACAAACCTACATTGCATATATACAAACGGAAAATGTGTGCACTAAATTATCTGCGTGTACGTGTGTGTATATGTAATGTACAGCTCACATGAACACGCAAGACACGCCAGAAATGGCCAAGACCACAGAGATATGTGGATGCACAAATACTGTCGGAAAACATATTGACCTATGACAACAATTGCTTCTTCAGCGGAACTCAAGTAAGAAAGCTCGCGGCTCTGCATCTCATTCACGTGTGATGACGATTCCTGCGAGCCAGAAAGTATTTCTGGCTCGCAATTTGTTAACCAAAGATAGGACTTGCGCGAATGCTTGCCTGGCTCCGATGCGAATGATGGGAGTCAATATGCAACAGGTCAACTGCCTCGAGTGTTTTCTCAAGTCGAGCGACAATCGGATCAAGTGTTGTGGTCTGCAGTTTTTGGGAACAAAAAATAAATAAAAGAGACGATTTAAAAAAAGGGGACAGCTGCTCTCAAAGCTCGGCTGTGATATGTGCAGAGCGAGCGTGCAGCAGTGACGGGGGGGGGGAAGGAATGCTGGGAGGAAAAAAACCCAGCACAAAAGGGCCATTTATTTTTGCTACTGCCATCGCTCTGCCTTGCAATTGGAAAGGATTTTAAAGGGATTTTATCGTCAGTAATATGTTACACATATATGTATATTCTTTTTGTTATTGCCACTTTTCCCATGTATTGTAGGGGTGTATCGCAGGCATACAAAAAATATGTAAATGTGCACGCATGGCCATAGCTGAAGCTATTATGAGGACAAAAAGCCACATCCCCGTGGGCCTCAACACCCTCGCCACAGCTGCCTATGATGAGGAAGCTGTGTAGCCCCCCCCCCCCCGCCCCCGACATAACCAGACAACAAGGTGTGTAAGCACGCGTGTGGATGCGAGCACGTCTGGTGTGTATGGGTAAATCTGTGTGTGTGTGTGTTTATGTGCGTTGAAGCGGTAAAGTGGTCGGTGAACTGTGCTGCTGTCTCGGTAACTAGAGTTCATTAGCGGTAATTGGTATTTGAACCGGCACAGGTGGGGGAGACTCCGGTGGCCAAGAATACGTGGTGCTGGTACCACGATCCCTTCATGTTTTCAATCGTTGGTGCTCGCTAACAGCACTTGCCCTAACGGCCTTTGAGGTGAGAGGGAAATGCTTGGCCTTTGTGCGTGGATATTAAACTCTTGGCACTCTTACGTACGATTTACAATTTACATTAATGAATTACCGTGGGTTAACTTTAATGTGCAGTAAAGTAATTAAAGGACAAGCAGTAATCTGGACTTCACATTGCAGTGTTTTACGGATATCAGCATCATTGTCTTAGTATTGGCCTCTAACTCATTGTCAAGTTATTAAGCTGTCACGTATGCAGTTTCTCACGACACCTCGAATGCAATATCTCTAAGTGCATAAACATACAGGTAAATGAATCTGCACACGCAAACATACATCCAGATACTGTATACTAACACAAATGTATGTGTATAATAGCTGTTTCTGTACACATGTATATTCGGTGCGTGGGGACTGGTAGATTAGCGGTTATCTTGCTGCGCGACGAACCCGGCAACCCGAGTTCGATTCCCGCTCATGGTCAACACGAGTGACGGTCATCTGAACCGGTCCTGGGCCTTCTCCAGGTCGACTCAGCCTTAAATTAGTACCTAGTGCGGTGTGTAAAAATCACCACTCGGGAGACAAAGGCGGCCGGGCATGGCGTTCGGCCACCCACGCCCCTTCGTGTGCCATGCCGGTCTTCAAAGGTGCTTACTAAGAGCACTTTGTTAAGGCTATACGGGGAATCATTTTTTTTTTCCTTTGTATATTCGGTGCAATTGTCTGTGCTGCGTATTTGCCCGCTGCTCCTCTTCTAAGCTCACTGAAAGTTCACACCCCGAATTAGCCGCCACCGTTTGACCTTGGTGGACGAGGCAGGAGAGGCTAGCCATGGCCATGCAACACGCACGTATTTACTCACTCAACGGACACTCACACCCACAAAAACAAACACCCACATCGCCACAAGAGGGCAGTCGCGCTCCGTGTCGCTGCTGGGAAAATCAAATGTTCTGCTGTTTCCACGGCTTCCGCGATTCCACCCCAACGAACCACGCCTCTTCCGCGCGCCACATCGCCACAGTCATAATGTACACTATTCACAGCTCAGCGAAGGGTGAGGCCCAGGGTCACGGCTTGTGGAATCTGCAAGGGACAGAAAGGAGGGAGCCAGCGTGAGAATTTCCGCGATGGGTGTTAAATTGGACATGCGCCGGGCTCATTAGCCGCGATCCCTGGAAATGCATGGCGGTGTGCACCTACATTTTGTTTGCCTACGCTGGGAGCTGCTGAACCCCAAACACCGAATTCCTGAGCTTAAATGGGAAGCTACCCCCCCCCCACCTCCACCTCGAAAGTAAATGGAATCCTAATACCTAGGGAATGTGATGCTCTCAATTTTACCATAAGGAGCCTTGGAGTTAATTTGGTTTTGCGGTAAATTGGTCTTGCCCAGCTCTGAGGATTAATTTGGCAGATCGGCATAAGCAAACATACAGAACTTGGCATTAATTGTGAGCTGCTAGGTACAGACCACAGCATTTGTCCATTCTCCTACAACAGCAGTTGCACATCTCGTGTTATGAGCCAAAGGTGGCATGCTAACGCATTGGAGAATATTCAAAAGGTCTATCTTATGTAAAAATTTAATATTCTAAATCAAGTTTGAATCACCTCTACGGGGAGGTTTTAATTATGAGACCTCCTTTGCCAGTAACAAGACATAGTAATAGGTTTTACCCTTTTAACTGGCACAAAAACTGACACCTTATTTCAAGGCATCATGTTTGCAATAACCACAACACAAGCAGTCAAAATGCAAACAAAAGAGACAACTCTGATAATAATATGCACTGTCCTTGAATTTGGTCCAACACCAGTGGAGACTAGGCTCTAAGAAAAGCCGTCTCGGGTGTGGACCAATCAAATTCAAGGACAGTGCATATTATTATCAGAGTTGTCTCTTTTGTTTGCATTTTGACTGCTTGTGTTGTGGTTACTGCAAACATGATGCCTTGAATAAAGGTGTCAGTTTTTGTGCCAGTTAAAAGGGTAAAACCTATTACTATGGGGAGGTTTTAAGTTTTTCTCTCTCCCTCTCTCTGTGTCTCTGTGTTGTCTCTCTCTGCTTGTGTGTCTGTCTTTGTGTCTCCGTGTCTGTGACTTGTCTCTATCTCAAATTTCACGCTTAACTTCTAATTTAGCAGTCTTTGGAAGAAGGTAATCAACCAGGCTATGCGTTAATTGTGTTGACCGACTCTCTGTGTTGCATTGCATTACATTTCCAAATTTTACCAAGTTTGTTTGATTAAGTGTGTGTTTTCTCTCTCTGTGTGTCCTCGTGTTGTTGCTCTATTATTTCCTGCAGTCATGAAAGCTCCAAATCTCTCATTAACACGCTAATTTCTCTACCCCCGCCCTCTCTCTCTATTTAAGGCCTCGACACAGAGGCGTTGTTTCTCTGTGTGCCTATGTGTCTCTCTGTGTTGTCTATCTCTGCTTATGTGTCTCTCTCTGTGTCTCCGTGTCTGTGTTTTGTCTCTCTCTCAAATTTAGCAATCTTTGGAAGAACGTAATCAACCAGGTGGGGTGTTGACTGTTATGTTAGCCGACTCTCTGTGTTGTATTGCATTATATTTCTAAGTTTACTAGGTTTGTTTTCTCATTCATTTGTACCTGATGATGATTGCTTGTGTTGCAATCGAAACGTCGTATGCTAGAATCCAATTTATTTATTTATTTCTACGTGACTTTACCGAAAGAACCAAAGAGTAATTCTACATTCATTTCATCAGCACAGCGGTTCACTCTGCGTACACTGAATGAGACTTACATTTTTCGAAAGCCAAATTACATGAATATTGTGTTTTATGTAGCTGCTCGAGCTGGGAATGAAACGAAACTCGTCAAAATGTGACATGCGGCTTATTACTTGAGAAAAGAGCACAGAACCAGAAGTGTACACCTCAGCAGTGTGATGTATTTCGAGTGGGGTGTTGGATGTGACAAAGGAGTGGGCAAAATGGAGACGGTCTTGTCGTGTAAGGTTTGGCGATGACCCTCATCGCCAAACCTTACGCGACAAGACCTTTGGTGGCAACTCACCTGGTGAGATGCCTGCTCAGTTCATGAACCTCCATCTCAGAGCTCTTGAACTCATTCAACTCCTTGCGGATCGCAGCCTAACACACGCAACAAAGACAAAGAGGCAGACAGATTGCAGCGATGTAGGCTGTTGAGGAAAATCCACACACAATGTACACTAAACACACATTGATGCACCCTCCCATGCATACACACAAAGACAAAGAACCCCCATGTAGCATACATAAACGGTTGGATGGGTGGCCAACACCATGCCCGGCCACCTTTCTCTCCCCAGAAGAATACACACACTGCAGCAGGTTATTATTTAAGGCTGAGTTGACCTAAGGTAGCCCCCGGATCAGCTCAAATATCCGCTGCTATTATTGGTCGTGAGCGGGAATCGAACTCGAGTCACTTGGTTCAGAGTGAAGCTAACCACAGAGTTCAACGGTGAGGCACACCAACATCCTCAATGAGCCCCCTGAGCTGCCCAGCCGTCTCTCCTTGCCACCGACTCACAGCCACCGACTCACAATCACGACTGACAACCACCGACTCACAATCACGACTGACAACCACCGACTCACAGCCACCGACTCACAAGCACGACTGACAACAACCGACTCACAGCCACCGACTCACAACAACCGACTCACAGCCACCGACTCACAATCACGACTGACAACCACCAACTCACAGCCACCGACTCACAGCCACCGACTCACAACCATTGTCTTCATTGAATTTGGCATCCAGACCAATAACTTTTTAAAACTCTAATCGATCCCTTCAAATGACCAAATTCAAATTGCTTTCTTAAAATTGCTGCTTCACAATAAATATTCTCATAATTCGCAAATTCACTTCAAGCGGATTTTTTTTTATCGCAAGTCAGGTCTGGTAGAGTTGAGTTTTGGATAAAATTGGTAAAAGTGATGTTGTGTAAGGCAGTTCTCCTACATTCTTTCTAATGGTTTGCAATGTGTACTGATGCTATTTTATTCTGCAAGTATAATTGCAAAAATTTCCCGAGCAAACAGTATAGGCGTGTACAGTACAGGATTAGGTTTTATAAATGCACAGTTATCAAGATGTTTTAGCGTTAAGCGACAGGTGTAGTTTTGCGCTGGCTACTTGTTGATGCCGGGGACCCAGCCACAGGTGTTTTAAAGTAATAACCATTACATTTTATATCACGTCATTCATGCTTATTGCATCCCACAACGCTGCACATTACTTATATGTATGGGCCAAATCCTATTCAAAGTGTTCAATGACATGCATCAAACTGTGACGCAAACCTTTAAGGTATCCTCATCGTTTGTCTTGCATTACACTCCGTATTTAAATCAAACCTCGAGACATTATTTACTGACGTAATATTTTGTTTAACACCGGCGCAGCGCAGGTATACCCCCGATCACCCCGCCACAATGAGGAGTGTGTGAAACCACCAAACTTTACGGACATCAAATGAGTGGAGAGTTCTTGACAACTTGTACGGCCTATGCAGATCACGGACACAGTTCATGGAGGTTATTAAGCCCTTCAATGTTTTGTCAGTAAACCAAAACTTAAATGTCTTCTCAACTGTAACAGGAAACCAACGTAATTTATTAGACAATGACCTGCACTGGGTCTACCCAAAGGCTCTTATCTCTCGTGGGAAGCCCCCTCTTTGTCCTCGTCGCTACCTTGTCAGCGGCAGTGAGGCGCGTCCAGGGTTTATCAGCTCGCCGATCGTAATCCTGGGCATCCGCCACCTCCACGTAGTCGTTGAAGCGGATAAGGATCTTTTTTTCTCGTAGCTCCTCCACCGTGGGCCTCTCGCTGAGCTGTGGGTCAAGTTGGAGAGGAGTTTAAGCCAGGGGTGGGGAATCAGCAGTCTCTTGGGCCATTTACGACCTCACGTCGTATGACCCATGGACACAGGTACAACCAGCGCTCCGGAGCGCCCCGATGTGTTCTCGGGTTGTGCCACGCGTTGTTCGGCACGATGTCTGACGTTTCGCTCCACATTGCTGAATTGTGAAGAAGCTCTCAGCACGTGAAGCAAAAACGTCGGGCATCGTGCCAAACAACACGGTACAGCCCAAAAACGCCAACGCAGAGCACGTACGGCACCATCGCGAAAACCTATGCATGTGTGATCTTCATCCATCGCTGCAATCATCTTAGGAAATATTTCGTGTATATGTGTGCTTGCCCGCCAAAGGTAAGTTCGTGTTTTCTTCTGCACTCAATAATGTGACAGTGAGCACACGGCTGTCATGAGCATCGCACTGGTCAGGTAACTCGGTGATTAGTGCGGTGGTTTCTGCAGGGCATTTTCATAGAACAAAATCGGCTGCTAAGTGGACCTCGTTTATCAAAATGACGTCACTTTTTATTTTCTTTAGTCCAATTCCAAAATTACCAGAAAATGAATTTTGCAAGATAAAAACTGTCACTGGAGGCGAATGATTATTAATTGTTTTGACCATTAGTTTACATGCCAAACGGCTTTCCTGTGTTAAAATAAACGTTAGGCCTAAACAGGCTCTTACCTGATTTCAAACGAAGGATGTGTGTATGCAACTATAACATAGTTACGATTCCAAGACATTATTCCAAGTCAGATTTGTAGATTGGCCCAAGTCTTGCTTAGTGCGGCTCTAATCACTCTCAGTGCAGGTAGTTGGCTTTCATTTATAATTGGGTGAAAGCTCGTGGAATTAACAATTATTTATTTCGGGGGAGACTTGAAGTTAATGCAAGTAGGTACAAAACAAACTACAGGCTATAATTGTGCTTTCTCTGGATGCAAGTTGCACGTATCTTCCGCACCGCACATAACCAACGGCTAAACAAAGGAAAATCACGTTGCTGCTGCTTGGCTCACGTGGGACGAGTCGAAATTACCTTTCTTGACAGACGTCGCTTAATTTCCTGTTTCTCTTCCTGCTCCTCTTCTTCGTTCTTCACTACAAAAAACAACAGCACGTGGACAAGCAGGTCCCTGTGTGTGATGCCAGCAATTAAACAGCAGGGATTTGTCGTCGGCATCGTGTGGTATCAAGGCCGTAAGCTCATTATCGGGCATTTGCGGGACTGTGTCTTTGCACACTGATGGCAGGAATCCGTGTCATTGCAAATTAACTTTAATTCATGCAGATAAAAAAAACACATCACGCCAATTTGCATACCCGCTAAAACCATTCACATTGTAATTGTGCAATGAAAATGATCCCATGAGACAAACGACTCCTATAGCCAGCCAAACATGACATCATGTCAAGTAGGGGACCCAGATGATACCGCTCAAATGCTTTTGGAGTAATTGCACTTAGATTTCCTTACCACACACTAGACAGCACACCATCATGTTCTACATCTCATGGTTTTATGCGTGTGTTTGATCCAATTTAAATTGACTAATCATTATGTATTTTTCCTACCTAAAAATCACTGGTGACCAGAATGAGAGCCCCTCAACACTCGAGAGCCAAGGATAACGTCAGCTTGCCGGCTGGACTCAAACTCAGAATCTCATCGCTACGGGACCATTGTTCTAAAATGGGAAGCAGCCCTGTGCACCAGCGAGTCAGCTATATATATCACGATTGAGTTATATTGTAATATATTTAATATTAAAATTACATTTTGCATGAAAAAGCTAATCAGAGGCATACAGCTGATTTAAAGGAATGCGCCATACTTGTGGGCTTGATAGTCCACATGCCATCGTTTCTATGCGTAACAAGCTGCACACTTAATGCCACGCAGGAGTAATATCTACATTAATTAAATTGGAGCTGCTTTCGCGATTATACGCAATGAGTTACAGGTTAAGCAAAAACATTACCACCACACCCATGTCACGCCTAATCCGCTACGTGGCTTTACCGAAAGACCCAAATAATATATGACAATGTTATACATGAATGAGACAGAACGAACAAGAAACAATGCATATGAGGCAGTAAAAAGGAGACAATATTTTGTAATCGAGTTGAAACTGCGAATATTTACAATGAATTAAATTACGTGCGTAGGGGGTGAATACCTACGTGTCTAATTAGCACAGCGCTTATCGCGTTCACAAACCCTCAAATTGATTCTCTGCAGCATATTTAAGACTTTCTCTAAACCATCGGTTCCCAACCTTTGGTCCGCGGACCCCCTGGTGGTCCACGAGGCAACGATAACAGGGCGGGCGGTGTGCGCGGAAAATTAAAAATACCCTCACCAAGGAAATGTAGTTTCAAATGACTCGTGGCATGCGGTGGTCCACGAAAAGTTTGGAGGTTTGAAAGGTTGGGAACCGCTGCCCTAAACCATATACTTTGTTGAAGGAGATCACTGTCATCTGAAACATTAATATCCGTCACTCTTTTATTTATTTATTTATCTGACATTTCCACGGCAAGTGGAAGGGCCTCCACTTGAGGGAGCTCAAGGGTGTCCTTCGAGAGGCTATTTGGCCTACTCTTTCACACTAACCGTATGTCTTTCAAGAGGCAAGATTACCCACTTTCCACCGCACACGACCTGTGGATCGCCTGTCGTGTACGTACCTATTTATACTGCTGGGTGAACAGAGATGGGAGGATTTAAGAAAATTGCAATTTCAAATACCCTTTAGCAATGTAAAATGCCATTTCCCGACTGGTTTTGGCAGCGGTATTCCGTTAAGTTAGTTTCTTTTAAAGTCAAAGGAGCTTAACGTTCTATCACTCTCTATAGCGGTGCATTAAATGGGATTTACTGTATCTCCAAATAACATTTCTGAATTGCGCACGGGTGCCGTTATTTTGGGGCAGCTCTCAAATTCCCAGGACACATGTCAGAAGAAACATTGGGACAAGCCAGACGCCATACCGCTACGACCAAACTCTCTCTGCATTTCGTGTGTGCCGCGATAGCTGTTTGTTGTTGTGGAGCATTAGTTGTTAGCAATGAAAAATACATAAGTCAACAGCAATACACTGAATAAATAGCACATTTTAATTACTCGACCTCAATGCATCTCAAATGGGCTGATGGACTACAAAGCATAGATGTTTTTTTAATTTTGTGGAGGGATGAACGGTCAGGCTATTGTTTTACCATAATGTCGCGTAAAAACTTATTGAGTTTATATAATATTCTTGGTTCTTACGGTTAAGTCACGTAGAAGGGAAACAATAAGATAATAAAAATATTAAACGATAAAATTCGCACGTTTCGACTGCAACACAAGCAATCATCATCAGGTATGAAAACTGCAGCACTTTTTTAAAAATTTCTTGCTGTGGTTTTCACACCTGATGATGATTGCTTGTGTTGCAGTCGAAACGTCGTGATAATTTTTTATTGTTTTATATATATTTTGTTATTTTGTTGTTTCTCTTCAACGTGACTTTACCGAAAAAACTAAGAATATGAATTACTGCAGTCACGAAAGCTTTAAATCAAAATTTAGGTGTTAAGATGTTAAAACACTAAACAGAATCCTTTTTCAAGGAATCCTGTCTGCATTAACCACACGTACTTGTGGCGAACATGCAAACAAAAAAACTTGCTCTGATAATATAAACATTGTCTTTGAAACCGATTGGTCCACACCAGAGACAGTTTTCTTTTGAGCCTAGCCTTAAAGTGTAAGACCAAAAATGCCAAAAGGTGAACAGCACAATGAGGACATTTATAGCTCGGGGTGAGCAGCTACAATATGGGACCTTTTTTGCCAGTATCAAAATGTAACAATAGGTTTTACTCTTTCTGTCAATAAAAACAGGTATGAAGATGTTAAAACACCCAACAGAATCCTTTGAAAAAGGAAAGGGTAAAACCTATTGTTATATTTTGATACTGGCAAGAACGGTCCCTTATTAAAGTACTAATTATTCATCCACCACACTGGAGATTCGTAGTGCGTGGTAGATCGGTGGTGATGCGGTGAAGACGTCAGCGATGTGCGTTGAGCCACAGACGCCCCCCCCCCCCCACCCCCCTCGCGCTACTTACGCCGGAGAATATTTCTCTGTTCCAGCTCCTCGGCTGTGGGTCTTTGGCTCAGCCGCCTACACAAGACGCGCGGACACAAGTCACTCGTGTCATTTAATCAACACACGTTCTTATATGGGGGAGTGGGGAACACAACAGTCAAATTGTGCATTTGACAACGAGCCACCTCCTTTCGAGGTAGCGCTTTTGTCCAAATCTTAAGGGAAGGTCCACTTCCTCAGTGGCCTAATCTGACTTTAAACCCCTGCATCTCTTGTGTTGACATGAGTAAGGGACACGCGATACTTAGAGTAGTTGATTTTACATCTGCAGAAGGAGCTGCCCTAAACCGCATTTCAGCTGCTCACATCCTGCATGCTGCTATAAAATAAACTCTATACAGTATATTGCATACGTAGGCGGAACCATTATACAGCGGGCCCTGACTCTATAACCTTTTGTTTTCACCAAACAAGTAGGAACACCCAAAACCCATTTAAACTTGTTGTGGTTTTCACACCTGATGATGATTGCTTGTGTTACAGTCGAAACGTTGTGAGAATTTTATTGTTTTATATTTTTATTATTTTATTGTTTCCTTTCTACGTGACTTTACCGAAAGAACCAATAATATGTATCTATAGCATTTGGTGACAACACATTTTTTAAATAACACTGCCATTCATTTTTTTTTAAACATAAAATAGATCACATTTCTAGCAATGGCCCTTCTCCATTGCACATAGATTCTACACAGCATCTATACGCTACAAAGAAGGGCCGTTGCCTGTTAGCAATCATTTTCCTTCTACGACGGTGTTATTGACGTCATGCGCTGCATTTTTTTTCATTCTTAACTTAGACACTTCACAGATAAAAATAAAATAAAAATTCTACATTTTAAATTCCTCTGTGGGCACAGGCGGGTGGCGGGGCAGGGAGTGTCACCTCGCATCACCTCCGGTCTTCACACACGGCTTGAGTGTCGATGTTGCCTATGTAGATGCTTACACGTACACCTTTCTGAAATGTAATATTTTACACAAACTAACAAGCTACCTGTACACAGGAAGTCGGGAAGAGATACAATGGGAGGACCTTCCAAAATGGAGCAATGTGAATGAAGAAGGAAAGAGATGTACCGTTCTTGCAACATGGTAGCTGAACGCAGCACAGGCGAGTGTAAAACAGTAAGTCTGGTAGAATGAGCCCTTGACACTGGAGGAGCTAACCAAGGCGTGAAGTTCATGGGAACAATGACCGTGGGAGTTGTGATAAATTAGCTGGCCGGTGGTGGCTGTGCATGGCTGCAACCCAGCAACTGTGGAGGCAGCGAAGGTTGGTAGATACCACAAAGGTTGTTGAACTCCTTTCCCACGGGTGTCCGAGGAGGTGCTAAACCGTGGCTTACCAGAAGGCAGTCCCGCAAAGTGTGGACTAATATCACCTGTTCCATTTGTATGGGATAGAGTGTAACCCCCTCGCACACGTGGGTTTCACCCGGATGCTCGGGATTTCTCCAATATGCAAACACTCATTAATTATCCCATAACATCTGCATGTATAAACGACCGCAGAGATTGGGTAATTATTGCTGCCTTTCCCTGGCTGCCCTTTCCCACTTGTCTGGCTCCCCACACCTCCGTGTCGTTCTCTCTCTCTGAGAGCGAGCGAGTACTGTGCACGTTACAAGTTTTGACATTCCAAAGTGACGAGGGAAGAGACTGAATGAGGGGGCGAGAGTGACTGGAGGAACCCTCCACAGGTGGCAGCAGCAGCAGCAAGTCAGGTCACTTTCGTCTCCCTGGCACGAATGCTGACACCACACCACCTGCTGTCGCACGTTAAGGCCCCCCCCCCCCCCGTTGACAATGAGGAAATTCAAACCACGTTCAGATACCAACTACCACCGCAGACTTCGGCGTGCAGGAATTCAGCCTTCAGCCCAAGCGGCTGGGCCCAAAGCGCTGGAGGAGTGCTCGCTTGACCACCTTAAGGACAAGGCTTTTTTTGTATAGGGGGCTTGATTAAATGGCTCATTAACTCCAATCGCCTGACAGCACATATCACGTCAGCCAATCCGAATATCCTGCTGTCGTCTAGCCAAGGGACACCCTCCTCTCCCCAGGTGCAGCTGTCCCTGTTTAGCATAAGCTGTATATAGCACCCGCCTGCAAAGGGGCATTAGTGAGCCAGTCGGGGACATTTTTTCTTCGTATTTTTTTTTACAATCAGGTAATGGCAATAATGTATCAAATTCGGAAAAAATTGTACCATGAACCCCAACCTATTCGTTTTTTTGTTTGTTAATAACGACACGAGACCTTTAACGTCCGCTGTGCAGAAAATGGCAGCTGTTGGGATTGAACCGCGAATCCAAGAGCCAAACGTGCTCCCACTTGGTCATGTCACCATCTTGATAATTTGGCACCGCTATAAACAAAGATCCCCCATATAGCCTTTTTTCGGGGACTTGCAATTAGCAAGTATTGATGAAGGTCAACATGGTACAAGAGGGCATGGGCGCCAGCTCCACACGTGACCCGCCCCATTGCTCATGTATGCCCACCGCACGAGTTACTCATTTAGGGCTGAATCGACCTAGGGGAGGTCCAGGACCGGTTCGCATATTTGTCACCAACGTTGGTCTTGCGCGGGAATCGAACGCGCGTTGCCGGGATCATAGCGTGGATCGCTAACCACCGCGCTACTTCTCCGCACACGTACAGGCACACACACACGCGCACATGCCTACCTGATGAGTTTTGTGCCGATCTGTTGGCGCATCTCAAGGCGTTGCTCGTCTGTCTGCCGAGGCAGGATGTTCTTCTCCTGCAGCTCCTCCTTGGAGGGCCGGTTGCTCAGCTTGATGGCCAGCGAGTCCTTCCGCATAACCTTAGCAGCCAGGGAGCCTTGCTCAACGCAGGAGGTGGGGGGGCGGGCGACACGTAGGAGGGACAAACGTTTGCTTTACAGCTGAAACTTCAGTGCATCACATGATGAATGTAGATATAGGGCAATGATTGAAGGCATGCCGGGATCAAATGGTGAAATGAAGACGCGAGCAAGAGCAGCTTGAAGTGCTTCTGGAAAATGTAAATTTTATCAGGAGGCCTTTTCGACCAATATTACGATTCTTTTTGAAAACGTAATTTGACAAGGAAAATTAACACACCAATGTGCTTGAATAAGAAATGTATCAACCAGTGCATGCCGCCAGCTATGATATATGGATAAAAACATGGGAACACTGACGTATGAAATTAAAGAAAATCTGAAAAATGCCCGTGCAAAAGGACGCAGAGGAACGTGTTCGGAATTACCCCGACGGAAAAGGAAAACTCGAATCCAGAGCAAAAGCAAATGACAGACACTGAGACTGCTATGTGAACTAAGGCAGTCTAAATCGCTCCAAGGGAAAACGCTCCACGGACGAGATTGGTGATCGATATGAGAGAGTGACAAGAGAGGATGGCCACTGCGGGGATGGAACGGCATGTGGGATTAACCAATGTGGCGTCGCACCGCTGTTGAGGAGTGGTGACAACAAGGAAAGGCCTTCACCCTAGCGGTGAGTGGTGTGGCAGTTCGTGGCTAAATGGTGAAGACGATGATCGTGAGAGATATTTAGAGCACATGGCATTGTGAAACTATGAGAAAGCCTACTAAAACCCCATCAGAGGGAGTGGATATTTATAGCAGCAGTCTTATTCTCGATCGTCGCTAAAAAGGTCAATATTAGAAATGAGGTGAAGAGCATTGGGCTTAATATAATTTCATGAGGAATTCCCTTGTATCAAACAGAAAAGGAAAACCAATCTGTTGTGGCCTAACTACGTCTCCATATGTTAATGAGTCAAGGCTATCTCTCTCTCTCTATGGTTGGGAACAATAAAACACCCTTTAAAACGAGAGACTTTTGATCTCATCGGGCTGTTTAAGTGGTTATAAATTAAGGTAACCGAGCTATCTGTCTTAACGGCAACATCTCAGAGGCATGTGACAATGTATCAATTCATCTATTCAATTATTTTTTTAGGTTACCGATATATGCGTTCAATTATGCACGTGAAAATTTATTATTTTAAATTTGCATAACTTGCACGCAGTGGGCTCACGTGAACCCTGCAGCCACTGAAGGCACTGCATTCACTACAATGGCAAACACATTGACCCTTGATTAGAATCGCGGATCTAGACACGTGACAATTGATCAAACCTTGAAATTCCCATTGGCTTTTGTAGCTCGTTAAAAATAAGAATAAGCCTTTCCACTGTAGTGATGAACATGTTCGTTGACAAAGTGTTCATTATTTGAGCCAACAATGACTCTGAGTGGACGAAAATCATCGAGCGTAATGAAGACCACGACTACTCTCCACTAAAGACCAACGCATGGTCTTTGACTACCACCAGACGAAACTTACTCGTCTGAACGAAGATGCAGACAAACATTATTGAATCATGTTGACAGAGTCTGCAGTGTACCGGAATATATTATTGAATGTTGAATACATTACATCCACAGAGAAACACCCATATGTATGTATGTTAAATTGCTTTTGCACGATACGCAGCCAACCATGCTATTCGGAGCTCTGCTGGTTGTTGTCGACTAGACTAAGACAATAACTAAAGTAATTCTGACCCAAGTGAACGCTGCTGCCCTGTCGGGGTCTCCACTCACTCTTGACGCGGAGCCGCGTGCCGCCTGGCCCGTCGCCCTCTTCACTCTCCGAGTCCGACTCGGAGGAGGCGTTCTCCTTGTCGCTGTCCTCATCGCAGCCCCCACCCGCGTCATCGTCATCGTCATCGCCGTCGCGTCCTCCTCCGGCCGCCGCCGCTGCAGCCGCTGCCACCGCCGCTGCCGCAGCCACCGCAGCGCCACGGTGGGCCCTGACGCGGAGCTGCACCGTGGGGACCTCGCTCACCTCCACCCTCGGGACCGGGGCTGGCGCCGACTCCGAGCTGTGGAAGCTGAGATGGGGTGGCCGGTGGGGGACATGGGACATGGAAACGTAGAGGAACAGCTGTCAATCATAAACGTCAATTGGCAGTAGGCTCAGTGTCAATAAACAACAGTTGTCAATACATTGCAAAGTAAAACAGGTGTCGATCAGCGGTAGCAAAACCAATTGTAAATGCACAACATGTGGCACCGATTTCCAATAAGGGTTCTAATAAATGCCAATGGAAAACATGAGTCAGGGTCAATGCACAATCGGCATCAATCAGTGCCAATTAACAGCAGGTATCAAGAAACCACTGTTTCGATTGGTTTTATTTAATTAAGTGACAGCCAACCAATATTCAATCTATTTTTCATATGGTAGAGCTGGTAAGATGTAGCTGCATTGGAAGAGTCGCATTGCAATAATGCTCTCATTTATCCCCCATAAAAGCTCAGTCTTAAGTCGTGTTCAGGGCAGTCTTACATTGGGGTGTACGGTTCATTCCGAATGGTGGAGGCTCGCTGTCAGAACAATGGGAGAGGCCCAAATGTTGTGGTCTGTCTGATAGATGCACCACCTGGTACTCCCCACTGTGTCAACTCCACGTGCTTTAGCCACCCCAATATCTGATGATTGTTGTGGGCCATTTGCACACGTACGCACCACTCCAGGCGGTGAGCGGCCATTGCCAGTGTCCGATTGAGCTCCTCGATGACGCTGCTCGGCGTCTTCAGGGGATGCCCCACGGAATGCTGGGAGGGCACAAACCCCACCGGTGCATGCTGGGAATGGAGGGAGGACAGGTGCGGTGAAGGCGATGACAGCGCCGGCCCATGCTGCCCCGTGGAATTCTGGGAGGGTGCGCTGGAAGATGCGGTGGTGGCAGCCTGCGGTGTCGATTGTGCCACCCCGTGGCTGTGCGGCGATGCTGCCGTTGAGCTGGTGGAGGCCAGGGAGGCAGGGGCAGAAATCTGGTGCGCCAGGCCGTGCCGGGCCGCGCTGTGGCGAGCTGACAGCGTCGACTCCACGGCAGCAGCCGCCGCGCTGATGGCAGAAACCTTCTTGGGGGGCACCGTCGGAGAAGAACGACTGCCCTGGCCGACCGAGTCCCCTGCAGATGAACGGAGGGACAAAGGCACGCGGCACCATCAGCACAACCACCGCCCATACTCATAACAGCGCTGCGTTTACAGTGACCGTGTTAACGGCAATATCAATAGAAAGGCAAAAAGCATTTCGGCAGTTTATTGCTCACTCCCCTCCTTACAGAAGGGCCTTAGACTAGGGCAAGCTCGAGAGAGCCCTACAGACAACAAGATCGCTATCAACGCCGCCGCTTAGCTTGGATACGCAAGGTGTGACAGAAGTTCAACTTACATACATACACAGCTGCCGAGGTCTCGTGACATCGAGCGCGATCGTGTGATCTAAATGATGCCACACACCGGTGATAATGCCGGTCGCGGTTGCAACGCCGAAACGAATCCGTGCCCCTCCTGCGCGCCTACCAGTAATGTGAGCGCACGGGCGAGCGAGCGGTTTCGGCGGCAGGGCCGGCGGTTGTTTCGATGACGACGGCGGCGGCGGCGTCTCGCTCCCCGCCGACTCGCGGCTGCCCTGCGCCACTGGGGGCCCCTTCTTGGGCGGCATGGACGGCGGCGTGCGGGGCTGCGGCGGGGCGGTGGTGGAGCTCGTTGGGGCTGGCGAAGGCCCGGCCTCCGCTGGGGAAGCAGTGCGCAAACAGCGTCCGTAGGTGGCAACGAAAGGGATGGGATGCGAAAGTCGAAGGCTAACAGGTTGTTTCCGTGGTGCGATGATTTTGGAGCTGTTACGCTTCACAAATACAACGCAGGAAATTACACTTTCTCATGTAGACCGTTCTACAAAAAAGTGGTTAATTTACACCTAAGGGATGGTGGGCTGGAGTCAACCCCTGGACAGGATATGAAGTACGGCCTTTAGATAGGTAGCAAGGATATACAGAGAATACTAATTATGGTGAAAATATAAAAAGTAAAAACATTTGATTTAATCTTGATGCATACAATAAAAATCCATTATCTGTCATCCTGTCATCCACAAATATGTAATCAAATACCTTGAGGATTTGCAGGTGATAAAATGCATGTAATATGACTGGTGGTACAGCGGTTAGCACACTCGCCTGTAATCGATGAGCAACACGAATTTTGATTCCTGTCCAAGAATAGCATCAGTGGCAAGGGATAACTAGCGTGATCCTTCTTTACGCCTTCACCAACCCTCACTGACTAGCATGGTGAAACATTGTCAAATACTCCTAACAAGCCACGTGGTATGGGGAGACCTTCATCCAGCGGTGGAGCGAAAAAAACGACTGTGCATGTGCTATATCGCAGGCAATGTTTTATGCCTGTGGATCCAGGTGCATCAACGGTGCTCTGCAGCATTCATTTTAAATGTAAACATAATCGGTGGTTGGCGCTCTAATACGATGAAATCGGACAGCTGACAAAATCACGGATCAGCTATCAGCCGCATACAATATGTGTATGCGCTCAATTGGGCTGAATCGCGGAATAATCGAGACTTCATCACTGCATCGCCTCGTCAATCGCGGAATAATCGAGACTTCATCACGGCGTCGACTCACTGCCCAGCGATCTGTGCATCGGGCAATCCCATTGGTTAGCGCTGCGTCGCGTGAACCCGCCTGCCTGCTTGTTTTTTTTTGCGATTGGCGAACGTCTGCACATGCTCGGTGGTTTTGTCGCGGTCCTCGCCCTTACCGGTCTCCTCAGGGAGCGCCGGCTGTCGCTCGGGGCAACCGTCAGGCTCCGTGGCCGACCCAGTCGCCGTCTCGGTCTCCTCCAGCTCGACGACGCCCGACAGCGGCGGCTGCTCGCCCACCGCGTGGCCGTTCTCCGCCGTGTGGTCGCCCTCGTCGCCCTCCTTAGCCCCGACCTCTCCATCTGCGCGACCGCCGTGCCGTCGAGTGTTGCCAACCACCGCCCGCGATAGCTCCGCAGCCTCGGCGCCGAGAGCGGCCGTGAGAGAGGCGCGCGGCGACTTTGACGAGCAGTGTGCTCGGTTTGTGATGCAAGTGTGTAATCTCATTTTGTATTTATTTAGAGCGCCTTCACACAAGGCGCTTGGACAAGGTTCAAATAATGGTGACATAATGTAATTATTTGGATGGCAGGGGGGGCGTGCATGGATTGAGGAATGAATGGCCACAATAGATGGTACTTAGGGGATCACGAAAGGGTAAGGGGGGGATGGGAAGGAGTGGAGAGGCGAGGGGTGAGAAGAGGAAGAGAATGGGCAATGGAGAAGAGGTGAGGCTTTACGAGAGGACGTTCTTCATGGCACCATGTGAGCCTTCATTGGATGGGTATCAACGAATGTCAATTATGCGCAGTCCGGGTCGTTCCACAAAGTGGCAGGGCCAGAAAGTGAAATACGGCATGTAAACGCCACGCACATCGTAAAACTGACGTACAATTGATAAAAATTTTGAAACAAGAATGTTGGTTGGTAGATAGGTAGGCGCATCCAAGGTTGGCACGCATGCAGGAAAACAAGCAAGTAAGTTTGATAGCCAAGTGTTTAGGTAGATAGGTAAACAAGTACACAAAAGCAAAAGTTATGGTTGTGCGATGATACAAGTATATGATGGGCTAATCTTGCGAATGACCTTTTCAGAGGTTATTTGACATCCACTTTGCAGGAGACGATGCAAAATTGGTAATGCCTCTTAGCAAAAAAAAGAGACAGGCCCGCAGCAAGAATCTAATTGTTGTCCCCCGTGTGAGCTCGCTTTGCAGCGAGAGTGTCATCCACCACTCCTGACCTTTCTCTGGAGCCTCCTTCAGCAGGCCACGCTGGATCAGCTGCTCTCTGCTCTGTCGCTCCGAGAACTTCCTCTCCAGCGCTGCAAACGTCACGCAATGTGTCATGTGAGTGGGAGAGAGGAAAAGCGCACAGGCTCAAAGCTTGAGATAATGAAGCAAATGATTTGGGTGTCGTGGACGTAATTTCTATTTTTGTTTTGTTTTTACGAGTGACCAGCTTCTGTCGTTTGGAGGTTTTTTTGAGCTTTGCCTTTTTTTCTTTCAAAAATCATTCCAACGTTTCTGACGCTCGAGTGTGTCCACGTGTACGTCTCTTTCTTCTTACATCACATTTATGGAGAAAATAAACTGACCAAAACCTTACCGAGGAAAGCTTTACTTGGGCAAGCACTTGATGAAAATGCGCGTGGTGTACGAAACCACAGTGACCGGACACATCATCCAAGTACGCGTGAAAAAAACACTCAATCTCCACACATTCCAGACTCAAAACCATAGCCGTGGAGTGGCTTGATGTGAAAAAGTAACTGAAGATGTAAGTGTGCAACCAGCTTTTGCTTTTTAAAATGGTGATGGGACTGGAGCTATGAGACCTGCTGGCAAAGGTGTAACCCTGAAATTCCTTGTTCACACCTCTGCTTTCACTAGAAGAGGAAACTCTAAGAGGGCCTTATCTCGAGGATATTTTACCCTACTCTCCAACAATGGCCACATGTCTTGGAAGAGGTGGGAGCACCCACACTTTACCCCACCACACGTGACTTAACGACCGACTACACTGCGGCGCACCCATTTACACTGCTGGGTTTTGACGGAGGCGGAGGGATTCATTCATGCAACTTGCCCCATTGTCTCGAACGCCGCGCCAGGAGATGCAACCCGCGACCCATGTGTGCAACGATGCATCCATTCCCTGCATGAGAACACTTCTCACAATCACGATACATGCATCTGAGCGCGTGTCTAAATCGATTGCATTCACCTGTTATTATTCTTTGTGGGTGGAGTTGTGGTTCACAACCCAGTGATTATTGCATTCCTCGCCACCGCTAGCACCAGGGGCGAGTGATATTTGAACCGGTCCTAGGCACCCTCGCTTCACCAATCTGCACCGATGAGCGTGTTTAAATATGGTCAAGCAGCCTCCGTCACTTCAGCATGTAGTCGGCTTTCGCGACCAATATTATCCATAACAGGTTTTTTTTGGGGTTAGATCACGTGAATATAAATGTGTCGTTGAACTCGCCACCACCCGACACAGCCAATTAGTAAGGTTTGTCACGTAAACAAAACATGCCAATTAGTTACTAGTCCATGAAGCAATCACAATAATTGACCAAATTGCCAGGGCGAGGGTTCACCACTACTTGTCAAGAAGCGAGTCTATGTCTCTACATGCCCGGAAAGGAGAACCCAAATGTAACGAGTCTGATGAGAGTTGGAGTGTCAAAGATAGAGATATTTTTAATACCTGTCAACCAGACCTTATTGGTCACCACGTGCCACGTATAAATCTCAACGTTCATCCTACAAAGTCCCATCACAAGGTGGAGAAACACAAACAAATAGACAAAAAAAATGTTTGCTTGCATTGAAACGGCTGTACGCCGTATGGACCTGAAAACGCAAGTTCCCTGTACAAGAATACGGGTAAACCATATGGGTTGACAGGTATGATATTTACACACCTAAAATGCAAAGTCATTACAGCTTATCATCGATTATATTATCCGGCGCGCGATTATCCGGCTTCCAGCATTATAATCCGGTGGTCCCGAGCTGATCTGGCGAATCTGGCGAAATCGGAAAAACCGCGACAAAGGCTGTACCAGTTTGGTGAAAGTCAAACACAAATGTTGTTGAAACAAGAGCATAGTCGTAAGTACTACATCACTCCATGCAGAGTCTTCCAGATTGTAGTAGTATGTACGATACCGTAAATACAGTAACTTTTTTACAGGATATTTCTGTCTATATGCATGTTTGTTTATGCCAATTCCATTGAGTAAACAAATGCGGCACAGCCTACCCCCCCCCCCCCCCGAAGCTACGGGATAATCGATGTTCTATCGTATTTACAAACATTAATACCACATATTAATCGACACTGTACAGCGATACCATGAAACCGTGCAACAAACAACATAGTTGAATCACGTGCTTCTGGCTCAATGCACCGACATGGCCACTGTGAGTCCCCCCCCCCACCTCCCCTGACCACCTCCAATTAGTTTCTTTAGTCCAACACCACCTGTGATGTGGCCTTCAATGCACGGCTAATTTGGCAAGACGCTACAAGTGAAGCACGAAGCTACGAACATACGCTCCCAAAAATTCGAAAGCCTTGATCTGTTTTGGTGATGCATAAATGATGCTACCTTGTGAAAGGCATTCATAAATATTCATGGTTATTTCTAGCCAATATGTTTGATAGATGCTTCTAGAAATGCGCAGTAAAACTGCATTTTGGCTATGATTTTTAACAAGTGTTTATTTTGCCACTTAAGAGGCATTTGTTTTCAAATTATTCTTTAAGATCTTTAGCCAAATCATAGTTCCAATTGTGATAAATCTCTTGCTCCTATTGATAAGAAAAGTTATATTGTATTTCATACTAAAGACACCGGGCATCAGAGTTACGGTTAAATAAAGGGAATAGGTGGAGCGGTGATTCATGCATTGGACAGTGGACCTGGTTATCCGAGTTCGATTCCTGGCCAAGGCTAACATCGGAGTCAAATTACATCTGAACCAGTCCTGACCACCCCCTGAGATCATCATGCACCGACCTGCATGATGGGGTATGGTCAAACAACTCTCATGACTTACATGGAATGGAAAGGCCTCCCATCCACCACTACATTACCAAAGGACTATAAATGACTTCGCATTTAAATTGAGAAGGCACAGTCATATATAGAGATACACATATAATACAGATGAACATTAACTTGCTGATCTGATTAAGGAGTATAAACAATCAGGCGAACTCCGGTCAGCCTCGCAGTGGCTTTTGGCTAGCCGTCATCGCATGCTTTCAGATGCGCTTTTGCGGCCGTCTGGAATACTCTTCCTCTCGATATTAGGAAGCGACTGGAGCTATGCACTTTTTAATCGAGATTGAAAACTCCTCTCTTTAGAACTGCATTTTGCGTTTTGTTAGGTTGTCCTCCCCCCGCCCCCCGCACCTCTGATTAGCACGGTTGGCTATGCACGGCACGAAAGAAGTTCAACATACATACGTATGTATGCGTACATAGCCCAGCAAGAGAGTGACTCAACCCATTTTAAAATAAGGAACGGTAAAATGAGCACCACCCAGCGAGGCTGCATCACTTGAGTTGAAGTCAACGGTGGACGCGTTGACACACGTGTGATGCGTTAACACAACATCCACCGTTGTGTCTTCACATCGGAGATCCCTTTGGGTTGCAAACACAGACGGCCCTGAAGCACAGGCTCCTGAAACCAAGTGAAGCCACTGAGTGACCCACGTGTTCCCTTAGTTTATGTTTGGTGGAAGGCTGCGTGTGAGCACTGCAAGTTGGCTGAGGTGGCGTGCAGGCAGTGGCGTAAGCTATCGAGTGTGCAGGCGGCGCATCTGCACCTGGGCCCACGGGGCCAGATTGGGGCAGAGGTTCTGGGCTACGAAGCAGGGAGGGGGAGGGAAACTGGGCAGGGGAGCCCATTTCATCCATTTCACCAGGGCCCACGCCAGCTACGCCGCACCAACGAGCGAAGGGTTTAAACACGTGCATTAGGATAGGGCATGGTCCTTAGTCTGGCTTTTATGGAGTGAAGGAACGGTGAGTACAGATGGTAGACATTTAGGAGCAGCAAAAGAAAAATAATGATTCACACTGTGAGGAGATTAAAGCCCCAGGAAATATGGGCCACATTGTCATGGTCAGTGGCTTAAAATTGTCATTCTTGGAGACCAATCTTTGGGTCATCATCTTATTGAAACCATGTGAGAGCCCACTGAGATTAAAGGATCTCGTTTAAAAATCGGATGCGCGTCACAAACACAACACGGTACACGTGTGAAGTCCGATTAAAAAAACAGCATGAGGCAGGATAGTCTAAAATGTACACAAACTTATAATTCGGAGAACGCCTTTAGGGATAATTCAGAGGTTAATAGAGCAAAAGAAAGTACAGATTAGATTTCAGATATGATGGAGGAATAATTCATAGGTTTATAGAGAAAAATACTTTAAAGTACAGCTTAGATTTGAGGTTTATTCTGTATACTTTATATGAGGAATAGGATATATCGGGGTTTTTTTTATGAAAGAGCATTTCAATACTGTGGCATGTATGGGGAACCTTCATAGTAGGAGGATATTTCCAAATTTAGTATTCCTTTTTGAACTTAATATTGGCATATAAACATGGAATTAATGACCCACCTACGCTCTCCCCCTCCTCCACCTCGAATTCCCCTCTTCGTTCCCCGTTGTTTATAACAAGTGTAGATTATGATGTATGTATGGTATATATACAGTACAGGTTTCCCTCATTTTATGCGGTAGATGTGTTCCAAAAAACATAAACGGCACAAGACAGCTGCCTGCCGAGTAGCGCACACAGTACACACAAAGTATACATGCAGTACACACACATAGTACATAGTACACACACACTACACATGCAATACATACACACTACACACATACTACACATGCAGTACACATACACACACAGTGCATACACAGTACACACATACTACACATGCAGTAAACACACATATACACACAGTACATACACAGTACACACACGTACAATGTTGTCCCATGTCCGACCACATACGAGTGAATTCAAACCACAGAGAGCGAATTTTGGGTAGAAATAGGTTGGCCGCATATGCGTGAAATCGCACAAACCGAACCCGCATAAACCTGTGTGAATATTCTTTGGGTCTTTCGGTAAAGTCACGTAGATAGGTTAATAGAAAATAACAAAAAACTACGACGTTTTGATCGCAACACAAGCGGTCGTCATCAGGAAAAGGGGGTTAGCTTCTAAAAGCAAACTGTTTATAAAGGTTTGAAATGGGCGTAGCCCAAATGTCAGCAGC